ACGAATCCCCAATATACTTCCAGAGCATAGAAACATGAAATACCGGATGCACACTCGACAAGCTGGGTGTCAAAGCAAGCTCATAAGCCACCTCCCCAATCCTCCAGAGCACCTTAAAAGGCCCAATGAACCGAGGACTCAACTTACCCTTCTTCCCAAATCTCATAACACCCTTCATGGGGGAAACCTTCAACAGAACCTTCTCACCAAATATGTAGAACATATCCCTGACCTTCCTATCAGCATAACTCTTTTGTCTCGAGTATGCTGTTGTTATAAGCAACAACACAGTCTGTCCCCAATAGCCTAGCCTCACCCGGCTCAAACCAACCAACTGGAGATCTACACCACCTCCCTTACAAAGCCTTATACGGAGCCATCTGAATACTCGACTGGTAGCTGTTGTTATAAGCAAACTCTGCGAGCGGTAGAAACCGATCCCATAATCCTCAGAAATCAATGACACAAGCACACAACATGTTCTCCAATATCTGAATAGTGCCCTTGGACTGGCCGTCCGTCTGAGGGTGAAAAGTTATGCTCAACTTAACCTGAGTACCCAACTCTTGCTGCACAGACCTCTAAAACTGCGAAGTAAACTGAGTTCCCCTATCTGAAATGATGGAAACTGGGACACCATGCAAACGAACAATCTCCTGGATATAGATCTCTGCCAACCGCTTTGAAGAATAGGTAGTACACATAGGAATGAAGTGCGCGGACTTGGTCAACCAATCCACAATCACCCAAATAGCATCGAACTTCTTCAAAGTATGTGGGAGCCCAACTACAAAGTCCATGGTGATCCGCTCCCACTTCCACTCTGGAATATCAATCTACTGAAGCAAGCCACCCAGTCTTTGATGCACATATTTCACCTGCTGACAATTGAGACACCGAGCTACAAATCTCACAATGTCGTTCTTCATTCTCCTCCACCAATAATGCTGTTTCAGATCCTGATACATCTTTGCGGCACCCGGATGAATGGAATACCGCGAGATATGGGCCTCTTCTAGAATCAACTCCCGAAGCCCATCCACATTGGGCACACATATCCGGCCCTGCATCCTCAACACCCCATCATCACCAATAGTCACATCTCTAGCATCATTGTGTTGAACTCTGTCCCTAAGGGCAAGCAAATGAGGATTATCATACTGGCGCTCTCTGATGCGATCATATAAGGAAGACCGAAAAATCACACAAGCCAATAATCGACTGGGCTCTGAAATATCTAACCTCAAAAACAGACTGGCCAAGGTATGAACATCCACTACAAGAGGTCTCTCCCCAACTGGAATATATGCCAAACTCCCCATACTCACCGCCTTCCGACTCAAATCATCGGCCACCATATTGGCCTTTATCGGATGGTACAAAATAGTAATATCATAATCATTTAGCAACTCCAACCATCTCCGCTGCCTCAAATTGAGATCCTTCTATTTGAACAAGTGCTAGAGGCTACAATGATCAGTAAACACCTCAAAAGACACAACATACAGATAATGCCTCCAAATCTTCAACGCGTGAACAATGGTAGCCAACTTCAAATCATGAACATGGTAGTTTTCTCATGGGGCTTCAACTGGCAAGAAGCATAAGAAATAACTCTACCCTTCTGCGTCAATACACACCCAATATCAACCCTCGAAGCATCACAATACATGGTATATAAACTTGAAGCTGATGGAAAAACTAACACTAGAGTCGTGGTCAAGGCATTCTTAAGCTTTTGGAAGCTCTCCTTACACTCGTCTGACCACATGAATGGAGCACCCTTCTGAGTTAACTTAATCAATGGAGATGCGATATATCAGAAACCCTGAACAAACCGGTTGTAATAATCCGCCAAACCAAGAAGGCTACGAATCTCTGTGGCTGAGGACAATCTGGGCCAATTCTGAACCGCCTCTATCTTCTTTGGATCAACCTGTATACCCTCGCTGGACACCACGTGCCCCAAGAAAGCCACTAAACTGAGGCAAAACTCACACTTGGAGAACTTTGCATAAAACTTCTCCTTCCTCAATCTCTGCAACACACCTCTCAAATGCTCCGCGTGCTACACCTGACTACGCGAATACACCAAAATATCATCAATGAAAACTATGACAAACGAGTCGAGATAAGGCCAAAACACGATGTTCAGCAAATGCATGAATGCTGTTGGGGTATTGGTCAGCCCAAAAGACATCACCAAGAACTCATAATGACCATATCGGGTCCCGAAAGCTATCTTAAGAATATCCGAGTCCATGTGCTTCAATTGGTGATAACCTGAATGGAGATCAATCTTGGAGAACACTCTCGCTCCCTGAAGCTGGTCGAATAAATCATCAATGCGAGGCAAAAGTTACTTGTTCTTAACTATTACATTCTTCAACTGCCTATAATCAATGCACATCCTCATAGTGCCATACTTCTTCTTCAAAAATAGAACCGGCGCACCCCAAGGTGACACACTAGGCCGAATGAACCCCTTATCAAGGAGTTCCTGAAGCTGCTTCTTTAACTCCTTCAACTCCGTTGGTGCCATACAATACGGCGGAATAGAAATGGGCTGAGTGTCCGGCACTAAATCAATACCAAAATTGATATCCTTGTCTGGTGGCATGCCCGGTAGGTCTGTAGGAAACACATCGGGAAAATCCCTCACCACTAGAACAAAATCAATACTGGGAGTCTCTGTACCGACATCCCTCACAAAGGCTAGCTACTAAAGACAACCCTTCTCAACCATACGTTGGGCCTTCAGAAATGAAATTACCCTACTGGGAACATAATCAGTCAAACCTCGCCACTCAATCCGTGGCACACCCGGTATAGCCAATGTCACTGTCTTAGCATGACAGTGTAGAATAGGACGACATGGAGATAGACAATCCATGCCCAAAATAACATCGAAATCCACCATACATAACAACAAAAGATCCACTCGGGTCTCCACACCCCAAATAATCACCACACACGATTGGTACACACGGTCTGCAACAACTATATCGCTCACCGAAGTAGATACATGAACACGTGAAATAAGAGACTCATAGGGCGTATCCAAATAACGAGCAAAGTATGATGACACATAAGAATAAGTGGAACCGAGATCAAATAATACAGAGGCATCTCTGTGGCAGACTGAGACAATACCTGTAATAACAACATTGGAAGCGATAACATTGGGTCTAGCTGGAAGTGCATAAAAATGGGCCTGACTGCCACCTGATCGACATCCCCCTCTAGGGCGACCCCTAGTTGACTGACCTCCACCCCTAGCTGGGTGGGTGGGTGGTGGTGAAGTAACTGGCGCTGGAGCCAATGGCTGACCCCTCTACTGAGATGCACCCCCAAGACAAGAGGAAACTGACTCCATATATGACCCATCTCTCCATAATCATAGCAACTCTCGGGTGTTGGAGATGGTGAATAAAGGGGACACCTAGCACCAGAATGACTAGAAGATGCACCTGGCATAGAAAAACCCTGAACTAATGGAGCACGGGACGAACTCTGAGCTGGAAGGGCACTGAGTGATGACTGTCCCTAATGAGAACTATGAGAACCATGACCCGATAATGCCCCACGATAACCTGGGCGAGCATGCCTGAATGGACGGCCTCTGTCGTGCTGAAACTGACCTCTCGAAGGAGGACCACCATAACTACCAAATCCCCGAGGCCTCTTGGCCATCATCTCATCTTGCTCCTGGCGACGAACTGACTCAATCTCACGAGCAATGTCTACAACCTCCTCAAAAGTAGCACCAGACACCCTCTCCTGGTCATAAGAATATGAAGCTGATACGTGAGACCATCAACAAACCTCCTAATCCTCTCTCTGTCTATAGGAACCAACCAAATAGCATGACGACCTAATTCTGAGAACCTCATCTCACATTGCATCACAGTTATCTCTCCCTGATGCAACCACTCGAACTGCCTGCATAGATCCTCTCTACGAGACTGTGGCACATACTTCTCCAAAAAGAGAACGGAGAACTGCTGCCAGGTTAGGGGTGCTGCACCAACAGGCCTATGCCTCTCATAAGCCTCCCACCAAGTGAAGGCAGCTCCAGAAAACTAAAAAGTAGTGAAAGTGACCCCGCTGGTCTCCAAATTAGCCGTTGTGCGAAGAATCCTCTAACACTTATCCAAGAAATCCTGGGCATCCTTGCCCTGTCCACCACTGAAAGTTGGAGGCTGAAGTCTACCAAACCTCTCCAACCTATGCTTCTCGTCCTCTGGCATGGCAGGAGCTACATAGTCCTAGCAGCTGCAACTGGCTGGGATGGATGTGCCCCCGATGTCTGAAGTCCCTACACGACCTGCTCAAGTGTGCGAGTGGCGGGAGTTTGAGTGCCTCCCCCGGCCTGAGAAGTAGCTGCGGCTGTAGTAACTAAGACCGCCTGAGCTAGGCCAGTGCATACTGATAGAATCTGAGCCAAGGCCTCCTAAAGACCCGGAATCACAATGGGCACAGCTGGTGCCTGAGCTGGTGTTGCTGGAGAGTCCACAACTGGGACCCGATCCTGCATTGGGGAGGCTGGTGGATCTGCAAGTGCTGCCCTAGCTACTATACGGGCCACACCCCTACCCCTACCGCGACCACAACCACGTCCTCGGCCTCTAGTGTCCACAGCTGGTGGTACTGGTGGTCGTCGATCCTGACCAGTAGCGTGTGTCCTCACCATCTGTGAGAGAATAGAATAATAGAAGTTTCGTACTCGGATCAACAGATTCACACGACAAGAATTTCAAGAATATGGAGTTTTTTTTCCTAAAGGTTCTGCAGCCTCTCGAGGATAAATACAAACATCTCCGTATCGATCCGTGAGACTCTACTAAACATGCTCATGACTCGTGCGACCTATGTAACCTAGGCTTTGATACCAACTTGTCACGACCTTAAACCCGGACCCGGTCGTGATGGCACCTCTCGTGAAGATAAGGCTAGCTGACACAACACCCAATTCATTTTAAACAATTAAAATAGTACAATTAAGTCATTAACATATTTAAATCCCAAAAAGAAACAATGAAATAGTATAATTTGCAGAAAGACCAACACTAACCGGCATTGGGGTGTCACCAGTCATGAGCATTTAACATAGTTTAGGAATACGAAAAAAGGGACTACATAGTCTATTACAAAATCCAGTACAAGGGAAAGAAATAATGATAAGAGGGAGAAACACTGGGCTGCGAACGCCGAGCAGCTACCTAGTAGACTCCGAAAATCTGTTGGAAGCTATCAACCCTCGCTAGCAGGACTTGAAGCGCCTGAATCTGCACACAGAGTGTATGGAGTAAAGTGAGTACTCCAACTCATTGAGTAATAACAATAAATGAAGACTGAGCGATAAGAAATCACGTAAAAATATATCAACATGCTATAAAGAAGCAGTGTAAGACCAATAAAAGTAATGAAACAGTGAAAACATATAAAGTCGACTTAGTTCAAAATAAGTTTCTTTAAAACATCTTTTTAACAGCTAAACAATTAAATGAAAAGCAGCTAGAATAGATAAACACATAAAATCTGCCCCTCAGGCACAATGTTAACAGAATTAGCCCCTCGGGCAATAACATGGAACAACACCAACCCCTCGGGCTATATCTCATATCACAATGGGTGCCCGCGCTCACTGGGGATGTACAGACTCCGGGAGGGGCCCCTTACAGCCCAAGCGCAACATCAAGCCATCTCGTGGCATAATCAGTAGGCTCTCGGCCTCATATCAACAAGCCACCTTGTGGCGTACAATCTCGGGCCCTCGGCCTCATAATCACAAATCAGTGTATCACTGTTGCAACATATAGCCCAACCCAAAAGTATCCTCACAACATAGGCCCTCGGCCTTACTCAGTCAGAAATCTCTAAAAGCCACTCGGGCACAGTAAAATATGATGCTCAACCCAAAATATCATTTAAAGTATTAAAACAGAGTAAACATGGCTGAATTATGAAGACAATATAATATAGCATGACTGAGAATAGATATAAAATCAAAACAGTGAGGAAATAACAGTAAAAATACCCTAAGGATCCAAATAGTTGGCACGAGGCCCAAATATGGCATTCATCCCAAAACATGATGATAGTAAAAAGTTTTCAATCAATTACTCGGTAAAACAATCATTCGGGAAGGACTAAGTTACAATCCCCAACGGTGCATGACCCCACGCTCGTTATCTAGCATCTGCATCACCTCAATATAGCACAACGATGTGTAATCCAGGGTTTCATACCCTCAGGAAAATATTTACAATCATTACTCACTTTAATCTGATCCAAAATCTAGCCCGCGACGCCTTTTCCCCTCGAATCGGCCTCAACTCGCATCGAATCTATCCAAAATCAGAATCACGATGTCAAAATATGCTAAGGGAACAAAGCCCATGGGAAAATAATCAATTTACACCATAAATCCCAAAATTAACCAAAACCCGACCCCCGATCCCACGTCTCGGAATTCGATAAAATTTACATCAATAGATTCTTTGTCTCCCCATGAGTTCATACATATCAAAAGTCCCAAAATCTGACCACAAATGACCCCTCAAATCCTCAAGTTAAGGTCTCCAATACCAATCCCTAATCTCCAATTTTTAACCCTTAATTTCTATTAATCTTAGGCAAAATCAGTGAAATAATGCCATATGATCGATTATTAGGTTCAAAAATCTTACCTCCAGACGCTATCCCTTGAATCCCTCTTCAAAAACTCTCAAAAAGCTCCAAAACCAACTTGAAATAGTGAAGAAAAACTAAAAAATCGCGAAGGAATTCTTTTATACCTTCTGGCCCAGGCTTTTCGCACCTGCGGCCCTTTTACCGCTTCTGTGGTCTTGACCACCGCACCTGCAGTTTCCACTTATACGCCCAAAGTCGCATATGGGATCAAATAACCGCACCTACGGCGAGCTAAGCACTCCACATCTGTAACTACTCTCCTTTGAATCCTTGGCCGCATATGGTCCTCGCTTCGCATCTGTGGTGTCACACCTGTGGTCCCCAATCCACAGTTGCGGAAACAACTGAAGCAGAAAAATTCTGCAGCTTTACAAAAACTTCAAACTTTTCGTCAACCATCCGAAATCACACCGAGGCCCCCAGGACCTCAACCAAAAGCACAAAAAAGTCATATACTACTATTCAAACTTATATCAATCTTGATAACACCTCGAACAACATCGAATCAACCAAAACACATCGTATTCAATCCTAAGGTTCCCAAAATCTTCTGAATTACGCTTTTGATCAAAAAGTCTACCAAACCATGTCCGCATGACCTGAAATTTTGCACACACATCTCAAATAACAGAACAGGCCTACTGCAACTCCCGGAATTCCATTCCGACCCCAATATCAAAATCTCACTTATCAACCGGAAACGTCAAAATTCCAATTTCGCCAATTCAAGCCTAAATCTACTTTGTACCTCTAAAACACATTTCGATCACGCTCCTAAGTCCCAAATCACCTCCCGAAGCTATCTGAACCATCAGAACTCACATCCAAGCCCTTCAACACATAAGTCAACATCCGGTTGACTTTTCCAACTTAAGCTTCTTCAAAAGAGACTAAGTGTCTCAAACTTTACCAAAACCTCTCCGAACCCAAGCCAACCAACCCGGTAATACAAAAATACAACTGAAATAGGGGAAACATAGCGGTAACTCATGAAATAACCGGTCGGGTCATTACAAAAACCTAGACATATTGTTCTAGACCTGGCTTACTCGAGCGGACAACTCGAGCCAAGGGGGCAACTACCGGTAACCAAAAGGCTATCTGACTTTGTAACTGATCTGAACCTTGTTCTAAATTAGGGCATGACTCTAACAGAAAAGAAGTCACGCCAGCGTGCACTTTCCAGAAGATTTAGAATACTCAGAGAGAAGAAGGGTTTCGTAACAGTTTATATACAGTTCAAAGAAAATCAAAGCGGTAAAAAGCGGCAGTTAACACAATAGGCTCAAACACGTAGTAAATTAGATAATAAATAAAGTCAACTATAACAGTTATTCTAAGCTCAAATTCTTGAACCTGAACCAGAGGTTCTGGGCTTTTTCCCCATCAGAGTCGCCAGAGTTGTCACACCTCCTTTTTTCCGCAAGGGGATATAAGAGAGTTTTTCCATTTTAAGTGACATTAATAAAAATGAGATTATTTTATTTATTTCAGAGTCGCCACTTGGAATAATTTATGGTGTCCCAAGTCACTGGTTTATTTTAAATCCCAAATCAAGAAAAATTGACTCTATTTTTAATCCGCGAACACAGAAGACCGGGTAAGGAATTCTGTTAACCCGGGAGAAGGTTTTAGGCATTCCCGAGTTTCAAGGTTTTAGCACGATTGCTCAACTATTAATAATTGGCCTAATTATCTGATTTATTACATGTTTTAAACCTATTGCGTATTTTTAACTTTATACCGCTTTTAATGATTTATGGAGTTATTTCTGGAACAAGTCACGATTGCTGTACACTTGTTTGTTTTTGTACATATTGTGAATCGCATCATGGGAACCGTACCCACGATCTACAACATGTGTATTTTATTATTGTTCGAAGTTATGGTCGGGTCACATGAAATGCACACCCGAATTGGGGATTAAGTATCGTGACTATGCCACGGGAACCGTACCCATATTCATCATTATAATTTATTAATCATTAATCGCACCTAAAGCAAGCTACAATATTCATCTATTATTCTTAAGCTACTTTGAGATTGTTGTGATGTCGTGATTTATGGATATAACATTGGGGAAAGATATGTATGATTTTAGCTATTGCAAAAAAGAAAAGATGAGCTGGGTATTGGAATAAATTGGCCAGCATGTATCAACATTCTACAACCCAACAACTAAAGCCCCAAACTTATTATAGGGTCTAAACCTTCTCAATTTCAAATAAAAACATAAATACTATATTTCAAAACCACCCAACGGCCCAACTCCAAACCATTTGAGTTACCCGATTTTGCTCCTTTTTTCAAATCTTATCTGACCAAAATATATGTTCATCAAATATTATTCTAGGTGTGACGTCCATATCTCAAGCATTCAAATGGATTGCACATGAAATAAATAACTTGAAGAAAATATTTAAAGATATCACTATATATGACATCAAACTTTTAAAACTAAACAAATGTGTCAAACCCATGAAACAACTTTAGCTTCACGATTTTAGCATATTTGTAGCCACATAATAACAAAAATATTATTTTAGCTTAAACATTCATTAATTAATGTTGACAAAATTCCAGCAAATATCATAGAAATAAAAAGCAGAAATATTGAGAGAGGGAAAGAAGGACCTTGTATTAGTTGAAAACTCCAATTCAATGTATAATAAGCCAAGCGGTTGTCCAGTCTAGCAATAAAAGGAAAACAGGACATGGACAGAAAATTCTCGCTGAAAACCTCAACGAACGCATGTTAGAAACCTTGCCGTAAACTCGAACGGAGACCACACCTTTGACTGAAAAATACCTTCAACTAGGCTTACAATTCCGTCACTCTAGTGAGGGGGCCAATTTCTTTTGAAAAATGAGAGATTTGCCATCTTCTTTTTTAGGAAGGAGGGGGGGGGTCTCTTTTTTGGGGTTCTGCCATATCTCTCATTTAAGAGAGATTAGAAAAGAAATCTTGGGTTTGGTGGTTGTCCACTTAGATATCTTATGGAATATATTTTTTTAAATCTTTTGGGAAAAGAAGATATAGATTTTCTGAAGGGGGAGGGGAAACGGTTGTGGAGTTTAGCGAATTAGCAACATTTTTGTGTGGAGGGGGGGAGGTCTGTCGCTGGTTTTCTTTTGACAAGAGAGGGTCGAATTTTTTTGGGGGATTCTATGGTTGTGTCTTAGAGTTGGAGAAAATTAGGTTAGGGTTTGGGAGTAATGTGTATTTTATAGGTGAGGAAGAAAATGAATCTCAACCTTTGAATTGAAAGAGTTTTAACGGCTGATATATTATCTTTATTTCTAAAAGGGCTCATGGGTCAAGATATTTGGGATTCAAATTAAGCTGACCCAAATGAAATCAAAAGACCAAATCTACTTCTTTTTTCTTTATTTTTCTTTTGATTTTAAGTTCTAACAAATTAAATCCTAAATTAAAACCTAACTTAAATCTAATTAGCAAAAATTAATTCTATTTATCTATTAACAAATGCATGTAAAATTTTAAAAGATTATTTTGTTTGATTTTTAAGTATTAATTCTAATAATTAAAGAGTGACTAATTCCTAAAAATGCAAATTAAACCTAAGATGTCATGAAATTAAAATGTGATAATTTTTATCATTTTTCTATGATTTTAAGATACTAAAAATGCAAGAAATGCAACTAAATAAAGCAAAACTCCTAAAATCCGTTAAAATTATTTTTGGTCTATTTTTTGGAGTAATTTTCACGCGGGGCAAAAATTAGGTGCTCACAATGCCCGAAGGATTCGTTTCCTTTGCCTAACATCGACTGAATGATCAATGCAATGGCTGGGCATGAGACATTGAATTTTCTTGATGCATACTCCGGGTACAACCAAATACGGATGGACCCGAGCGACCGAGAGAGGATTTCTTTCATAACTAAGTTTGACACTTATTGTTATAACATGATGCCATTTAGATTAAAATATGTCAGTGCCATATATCAACGCCTAGTTAACTGAATGTTCGAGGAACAAATAGGGAACTCAATGGAGGTTTATATTGATAATATTAGTTAAGTCCCTGCGAGCAGAGGACCATTTGAAACATTTGCAGGAAACCTTCGACATACTAAAGGAATACAGCATGAAGCTGAACCCGGAGAAGTGTGCCTTCGGAGTTGGCTCGGGTAAGTTCCTCGGTTTCATGGTATCTAATCAAGGGATAGAGATTAACTTGGATAAAATAAAGGCCATAGAATATATCACCGTAGTTGTCAACACCAAGGCGGTACATAGATTGACCAGGCGGATAGCTGCATTTGGCTGATTTGTTTCTAGGTCATTGGATAAGAGTCACTTATTCTTCTTGTTACTAAAGAAAAAGAACAATTTCTCTTGGACCCCAGAATGCTAGCGGGTTGTAGAAGAACTCAAACGACATTTATCAAGTCCTCTACTTGGTAGTCTCTGAGGTAGCGGTAAGTGGTGTCGTGGTCCAGAGGAAGGTACACAGTTTCCTATCTATTATGTTAGTAGAACCCTAGGTGATACCGAAATGAGGTATCCACACCTAGAGAAATTAACGCTTGCCTCATTAAGCACGTCTAGGAAACTAAAATCATACTTTCAATGTTACCCTATATATTTTGTGACCTCGCATCTGCTAAGGAATGTTATGCATAAACCCGAGCTTTTGGGTCGGCTAGAAAAATGTGCCATAGAGGTCAGCAGGTATGATATTGAGTGCAAACCCCTAACATCTATAAAGTCTCACATTTTGGCAGACTTCGTGGCCGACTTCACACCAGCCTTGATCCCCGAGGTCAAGAAAGAATTATTACTTGCCTCGGGGACTAACTCGGGGGTTCTGAACCCTATTCACGGATGGTGCTTCCAATGCAAAAGGGTCCGGGTTGGGAATCATACTAAAGTGACCAACGAGTAATGTAATAAGGCAGTGCATTAGAATTGTGAGATTAACTAACAATGAAGTTGAATATGAGGCTATAATTGCAGGTCTAAAACAAGTAAAGAGCTTGAGGGCTAAGGTGACTGAAGCCAAGTACGATTTCCTCCGCTTGGTTAACCTAGTTAATGGAACATCTGAAATAAAAAAAGAATGGATGTGGAGATACTTGGATAAATTACAAGCTATGTTACATCAGTTCAAAGAATGGATACTATAACATGTGCCTCGAGATCATAATAACGAGGTCGATGCATTGGCTAATCCAGGGTCGCTAGTTGACTCCAATAAATTTAAACCCAGAACAGTGGTGCAATTGATGAGCTCGGTGATAGAAGCCATGCCAAGGTAACCTAAACAAGCTTGACTTGGGATTGGAGAAAAAAATACATAGATTACTTTCAAAAAGGGAAATTGCCACTGCATCCCAAAGAATCAAGGGCCCTTCGAACTAAGGCTGCTAGATTTAGTTTAGTTGAAAGAAAACTGTATCGAAGATCATTTTTCGGATCATTATAAAGGTGTTTGGGTCATGGGGAGACTGATTACGTAATGACGGAAGTCCACGAGGGCACTTACGGAAACCATTTAGGGGCAGAATCATTGGTTCGAAATTGATCAAGGACATTACTGGAACAAGATTGAAAATGATGCAAAGGACTTTGTTAAAAAATGCAACGAATTCAAAAGGCACGCCCTGATGATCTACCAACCGGGGAAAATGCTTCAGCCGGTCCTTTCCCCTTAGCCATGTATGAAATGGGGAATGGATATCGTAGGTCCTTTTCCATGGGCATCCGGTAAGGCCAGTACATCTTGTTTATGACCGATTACTTCTCTAAGTGGGTCGAAGCACAGGTGTTCGAGAAAGTTAGAGCAAAGGAGGTCATCGACTTCATCTAGGATCATATAATATGCCAGTTTGGGATAGCGGTTGAGATCATGTTTGACAATGGGAGACAGTTCATCGGCAGTAAGGTCAATAAGTTCTTGAAAGATCACAAAATCAAAAAGATTCTATCAACCCCTTACCACCTAAGTGCTAACAATCAAGCGGATTCAACAAACAAAATTATACTGCAGAACCTGAAGAAGAGATTGATCTACTCAAAATGAAAGTGGAAAGAAATTTTGGATTAGACCTATTGGCATATCGAACAACTTCGAAGTCGAGTATTGGCGAGATCCATTCTCTCTAGTCTACGATGTAGAGGCTTTGATTGTAGTAGAGGTAGGAGAAACGAGATAAAGATCACAATATGCCACGGAGGCCATGACCACAAGCTTAAATTTAGAGACAAAAGGCGAGAAGCCATTCTAGTCCAGTTAGCGGCTCAAAAGTAGCGAATGGGAAGATATTACAACCAAAGAGAAAACTTTGGTCACATCCAAGTTGGGGAATTGCTATTTAGGAAAGTTACACTACATACCACGAACCTGAATGACGAAAAACTAGGATCGAACTTAGAGGGACCATACAGAGTCTCCGGTATAACAGGGAAAGGGTCATACCAGCTCGAGTCCCTAAAAGGTGTAAAACTACCCAAAAACTAGAATGTGGCATATTTAAAGCAATATTACTTCTAAGGTATGAACATATAAACTTCTTTATGGTTTACTACGTTTTGTACTAACCCGTGCAGGTACTCGATCGAAGTCAAATTTAAGGATTAGGCCTGAAAGCACGTGTTGCATTCTTTTTCCCTTCAACTGGATTTTTCTCAAATTGGGTTTTACGGCAAGGTTTTTAATGAGGAAACAGTAAGCTTTCTACCCTAGTTTTGAAGACTAGTCTCAGACCAAAGACTGCAGATCGTCAGTATCAGATCATAGTATTCGAGCCCAAAAACTTCAGTCTTGAATACTAGAAAATCCTATTCGATATTGAAAGCTAAGGCCTGAATATTAGGATTAATTATAAGGGTCAAATGGTCAAATGAACCATGCTCGCATAGCTCATTCTCGCCATGGCAGATAGCTTTTGTTCCTTCAATTACTTACAGTATATTCAAAGTAATAAAAAGAAATTCGCCTTCTATTTGTCATTGGTTCGCATTCGCACAAGCAATATTATCGTTAAGTCACTTAGAATGAATACTGGATTCAAAACATCCTAGGCCCATGGGCCACCATTAAATGGGGGCATTAAACCAGGAAAGTAGTAAGAACCCACAATACCATACACAATCATCTAATGACCCCCAAGCCTACGGGTCACCCCTAATCGGGGACTATTACCAAATAGTAGAATTGGGAAAATAGGGATCCAAAATCCCAAAGACACCGAGACTACAAGGAAGGGCCCAAATACCAAATGTCATGACCAACTTAAGAAATGAAGCCTTTAGAGCATAGATTACAACATATAAACAACTCGGAGACGTATGAGTTCATACATAAAAAGTAAGGTCCTTACACATTTTTAATCCATAAAAGACTACTTCAAACTCGGTCAAGTCAATCAGTCTCGAATTACGTCCATGAAAAGAGCCACCTTCAGCAAAGAATAGTTGTGTCCGATTAAAACACTCAAAATTTTAGCAAAGGCTTCATTTTTTACCGGGTCCTCCGAAGTCAAAGAAACTCGGAGTTATTATTTAACCCAGGCCTCATCCATGCTTTGGGAGATTGAATAGTTTAAGCAATGTCAAATTCTATGCTAAGGAATCGACGACATATTATTAAGTTCGAGACACAAGTTATGTATCCTAAGTCTTAAACATAAGCAAATATAGAAGAGTTAAAGAACACAACATATAGCCAAAGGAAAATTTTTATACGTATGTTTACCAAAAGGTATTTACAGAGGCACTATAAAACTACCCCAAAATACAAAGCATGTAGGTACAAGAAAAAACAAAAATAAGCTCAGGCATATTCTGCCTATTCTTCATCGGAGCCTAACTCGCTATCTGAACTATCGGGATGGTACCTCGCTCTGGCCTCGACTTTGAGCCATTTTACATATTTGTCCTTCATTGTAACACGGGCTTCGACTACCTCTACATCATTCTTATACTTGGCCAGAATGATCTGAGTTTCTGAGGCCTCATTCGAAGCCATTTACATCCTGGATCTCATCGCCGTGTACTCTTGGCTGAGGGAATCACGTGATGTAATTGCCGAGGCAAATGTTCCCAAAGCTCCTCGTTCAGGCGAGACTATTTATCGGCTTTATCTCTTGTCACTCGGAGCTGCACTTTGGTCAATTCTAGATCCTCTTTGGTGGCATATTGCTCCAATGCTAGGAGGTTCATCTTGCCCCTAAGCTC